GAATATCCTCGTACATACATATATTTTGGTGTAATTATTTCTTTAGGGTAAGATTATTGAGGGAAATCGATAGCTCACCAGCTGTACACAACCAAAATTTTTGACTACATTGCCATGTATTTATTCTTTCCCATCTTCCCAATATTTCCATCCAGAAAATGCTTGATAATTCATTCTCCACTGGCAGTATATGAGAAGACCAATTTTGCAACACTCCATAGAGAAATTGTTGCTATGACTCGATAGGCAAGAATACTTTGTTTGTTTGTTTTTAGTTTTTTAATTAATTTTAATGAAAGTTTACAGAGACTTAGGATGTCCAGTCATTCATTGTTGCACTTTTCTCCCTGCCTAAATCCCTCTCCCACAAATCACTCTTCTCCTAGAAAAGAAAGAGAAAAACTCTTTGATTGTTATATAATCCCTCCCCCCAAGTCCACTCCACTATGTAGCCTTCACACTGGACTTCTGTAATGACAAGAATACCCATTCATATATCCCTTTTAAACAGATCTCTCCCTCATCTGATTCAATGTAATGTACATCATTCCTCCCCTCCTTCTCTGTCTTCTCTCAACCCCAATATCAGTCCCGTTTTACAACAGTGGCCCTGTGCGATATTTGTCCTTTTGTGACTGAGATATTTCACTCAGCATAATGTCCTCCACGGTCATACATTTTGAATAATATTTTATGAGTTCTTTGTTTTTCAGTGTTGCATAGTATTCCCTTATGTGAATGTACCAGAGCTTCTCTATCCATTTTTGCTTGTTGATGGACACTTCTGTTGTTTCCAGCTCTTTGCTATTGTAAACAAAGCCGTGATAAACATGGGTGTGCATATATCAGCTTGGATGGCAGTTAGGGTTTCTTTAGGGTAAATTCCCAGCTGTGGAATTGCTGGGTCAAATGGTATATCTATTTGCAACTTTGTGAGACAGCGCCACACCACCTTCCATAGTGGTTGCACCATTTTACACTCCCACCAACAGTGAATAAGGGTTCCAGTTTCTCCACAACCTCGCCAGCATTTGTTGTTTGCTGTTCTGTTAAATTTTGCTATTCTTACCTGGGTGAGATGATATTTCATAGTTGTTTTGATTTGTATCTCTCTTAGAGCTAGGGATTTTGAACATTTCTTCATGTATTTGTTTGCCATCTGAATGTCTTCTTTGGTGAAGTGTCTGTTCATATCCTGTGCCCATTTTCAACTGGGTTATTTACCTTTATCTTGTTGCGGTGCTCGAGTACTTTATAAATTCTAGATATAAGTCCCTTATCTGACATGTCATTACCAAATATTTTTCCCCAATCTGTGGCTTCTCTTTTTACCCTGTTGGAGAAGTTTTTGGATGTGAATAGGGATTTAAGTCTTAGAAGGTCCCATTCATCTATTTTATCCTCTCCTGGTTGTAGATTTTCCAGGATACTTGGAAGACTGTTTAAGTTGTGGGTTAGGACTTCTAGAGTTCTTCCAAGCTTTTCCTTAATGAAGCTCATAGCCCTTGGTTTTAGTCCTAGGTCCGTAATCCACCTTGAATTGGTTTTTGTACATGGAGTGAGGTATGGATCTTGAGGCAGGAATAGTTTATATGTTGTTTTAAATTCTTGTTCTCTCTTGGATTTGTCCTCCTTTTTCATAGGATGCCTGACAGAGCATTGTGTGTACAATTGGAAAGAGGAGTGCATCCTCATGTATCAGTCCCTAGGGTGGAGGCAGGTTCACTGAGTCAGGTATTGAGTCAGGTTTGCATTTTGCTGCTGTTACCTTCTGTATATCTCAGACTCCAGCAGAAGGTGGGTTTAGTGTGGGGCCTGGGGAGCTGGAGTTCTTTTTTTGGTGCTCCTCATTTCCTCTCAGTTCTCAGCAAGCCACAGATGAAGGTCTCTTTCCACACTCCTGTCACTCCTCTAGCACCAGAGTGCTCTTGCTTATTACTTCTGGTTGGCTTGGGGAGCGCTCCTGGTCCCATTTAGGCAGCCTCTCTTCATTTTGGGCTTCAGGGATAGGCCTTTTTCAGAGATTCCCCCATCCCTGCATATGGCGGACAGATTCTAATTTGTAACTGTGGGGTTCTTGGTGGAAAAGTGTTTGTTGCTTCTCACCCAACCTTGGCAGATCTCTGCTTGTATCAGTGAAGGATCTTTGGCCAAAAGGGTTCAGTGCCCCTTTCCTAAGGCCAGACTGCTATTGTGTGTAATTGGGTAAAAGCCTCATGGCTTGGAGAATGAAAACTTTACTGCCCTTCCATATGGGTAAATGACTTGCAGCCTGATAGATGGTGAAGACATTGAGATTGTTAACAGCTTCAACTTGCTTGGCTCCACAGTCAACACTCTTGGTACCAGTAGCCAAGAAATCAAAAGATGAACCGCGTTGGGAAAATATGCTGTCAGGGACCTCTTCTCCAGAGTACTAAAGAGCAACAGTATCAATCTAGAAACTAAGGTGCACCTGATACAGGTCATGGTCTTGTTATGCATCAGAAAGCTGAACAATGACTAGGGATGATAGAAGAAGAAGAATTGATGCCTTTGAGTTGTGGTGCTGGAGAAGAGTATTGAATATATCATGGACTGCTTGGAAAACAAACAAGTCCATCGTGGAGAGGGTAAAGCCAGGGTGCTCTTTGGAGGCAAGAATTTTGAAGCTCCATCTGACATACTTAGGGCATGTTGCCAGGAGGAACCAGTTCTTGGAGAGGAACATCTTACTTGGAAGGGTGGAGGGACAGCGCAAGAGAGGAAGACTCTGGGTGAGATGGACTAACTTAGTGAGTAGGGTAATGGGGGTGGGTGTGTCTGAGACAATGAGATTGGTTCAAGATAGAACAAAGTTCAGAGCTATTGTCTAGGGCCACTATGAGTTGCAGGTGACTCTGGCACATAACAACAATCATTAAGTACTTCTTGGAGAAATGTCACTGGAATGCTCCTCGGAGGCAAGACTAGTGAAACTTGGTCTCACATACTTTGAGAATGTTGCCATGAGGCCCCAGTGTTTTGAAAAAGACATTATGCTTGGAAAAGGACAGGTTAATGAATAAAAGAAATACCGTCACGATATTACAGGCACACAGCGACTGCAACAGTGGGAACTATGGTGGAAATTGTGAGGACGGCACAGGATAGGGCAGAGTCTCAGTCTCTTTCTCGTAGGGTCATTTTGAGTCATACTTGGATCAAGGGCACCTTCCAAGAAGCAGAAGCATAAGTTAACTCCTACTGTGTGTGTGGTTTTGTTACATAATGAAGTAGGATAGTTAGTTCTACCCTACTGCTATTGAAACCTTCTATCAGATGTCCAAGAACATGAATATTTTCTCCCAAGGAGTCCTTGTTGTTGATGTGTATCATTGAGTCAGAGCTGACCCATAGCTGACCCTCCAGGAGGTTTTCAGAGGCTGTAAATCTCATGGGAGGAATTTGTCCATCTTCCTACCTTGGAATAGCTGGCGGATCCAAACCGGGTGCCTTTGGGTTGACAGCACAACTCCTTATGACTAGGCCACCAGCACTACCTCTGACTACTACTGCTGACATTGTAGCCTGACATTGCACCAGCAGAACTCCATGTTACAAAACTCAAAACTCAGACTCACTGGCCCCATTGGGATTCTGATGCTGTACATTGCAGAAGGGAAGAGGACTCATCTTTCTCCTGAAGAGTGGAGGCAGGGCCTTTGGGTTAGCGCAGCTCACTACAGACTGTGCCACCAGAGCGCTTCCCATTAATTAGCCATTAGGCTTCCTTCTTATGGAAAGGTTGAAAGGTGAACCAGCTAATGGATTGCAGTTGTTAGGGATTAGGAAAGGAGGGTCTCTAGAGAGATCAGGATGAGCTGTAGGCTAAAGCAAGCTTTTCCTCTGTGAATAAATTAGAATTCCTCAGGGAGTTTAACCTTGGCAATGTATGAGAGAGTCTTAACAGGAAAAATCAGAACCTCACGGATTTGTAACATCTTTTGTTACGTAGTACCAGAGTGTATTCTTGACCTCAGCCCCAACCATATGGTGACTCCCTGGGCTCCACATCCCCCTTCTCACCCCCGTGCAGCAGGGAATAGGTGGAAATGCAGAAGCTGTTGAAACTAATTGCTTTCCCATAATGCCTAATGGGTCCTCAGGCAGGATTTTGTAAATGGATGAACTTGGGACATCTGCCATGAAGTTAACATATCTACAGAATGATAAGAAAAGACTGATGGGGATGCACTTAGAATGTACTTCATGTACTGAGTGTGACCTCATCTCCCTGCCAAAACATTCTCTTTGGCCTGATTGTTGTAGGGATCAGGAGCCCTGGGGATGCAGTGGTGAAGTGCTCAGCTGTTACCTGAAGGTCTGCTCTGAGGGAGGAGGTTGTGGCTTCTCTGCAGATTGTAGCCTGGAAAACCCTGTGGGGAAGTTGGGCACTCCAAGCTGAAGTCGACTTGATGGCAGCGTGTTGACAATACTAAGGTGTAACTGCCTGCTTCTTAAATATTCTCTGACTGATTTTTAATTGAGGTTTGCTATTTCCCCCCCACTCTGCCTCATCCTACTCAGAAGAAGCTGAAGAAATGCAGATTTACCTTTCAATCTTCAGCCAAACATTAGCAAAGTAGTAAGTTACCATACAAGTCAGCCCTTCAGGCTCAAGTTAGAATGTTGCTGTTGAGAGCCATCAGGTCGATTTTTGACTGACAGCCATCCATGTGACATTAATCTCCCACGTGGGATTTTGGTGGCTGTGACCCTTGAAGCACATCATCAGGTCTTTCTCCTATGGAACCAGTTGAGTGAGCTTGAACCACCAAGCTTTCGACTAGCAGCAGCCAAGCATGGAATCATTGCATTATCATGGTTCCTTAGAATATGTTAGCTTATGTTCCTTATGCTGTCATTTTCTCCTATTAGTGTGAAACGGCCAGAGTCAACTCTGGCCCCATCAGACCCTTAGGTAGCTTTTCCACAAACTAATTTCTTACGTGTCCCTATTCTCTCTCCTTTTCTAAAAGGTATACGATAAAAGGCATTAGGAACCTGATCTTCTATGAACTGCCAACATATCCTCACTTCTACAGTGAAGTCTGTAACATGCTGAAAATCACCAACAGAGGAGAGGAAGCCACATGGACCTGCACTGTTCTCTACTCCAAGTACGACGCCCAGAGGCTCGCTGCGGTGGTTGGCGTGGAACGGGCAGCACAGATGCTACAGTCCACGAAGAATGTCCACCTCTTTATTACTGGAGAAAAATGAAACTGTTGCAGTGGAGACAGCATTGGGCATGATACATGAAGCCTGATCCTGTGTGATTTGGGCCCAGTATTGAATATTAATATAAGAAAGGGCTTGATCCAGGAAAAGGGCATCAGGCAATGTCACTGTTACTTGATAACATACTTTTTTTAGGTTGTGTGTTCCTGAAAAGTTTAATGTAAACCAGATTTTGGTAAATCATATCTTGCAAAGTCAAGATGGGACTGAAAAGTTAACTGAAGAAACTTCTATTTGTGAATCTTTTTTGTGAGCTATAAATTCTTATGATTTGACCTCTGGCACTTCTTAAAATAAGGCCTAGTCATCACTGCTGGTGAGAACTGGTTAAGAGAAATTGGAATAGTTCTTGCTGCTGAAGACTGTCTTAATTTTAGATCACAGTAGGTCTTGCAGATTATTTTTCCTGAGCCAAGCTTTTTATTTTTAAACCTCAAATATCTTATGCAACCTTTAGAAATATATTCATGTGCTGATTAGTAATAATCATTATTATCCAACAGTAATATTAATGGTAGATGTTTCAGATTAAAATACACACATATAATCATAAAGTAAAATTATCTTCTACCCTAACATTTCAAGAAATCATTTTGGTCAGACTCTTTACATCCATGTTCAACAGCACTTTCATTGTTGAGGTGTAACATCAGGTCAGGACCATCCTATAGCTGACCCTCCACCAGGCTTTCAGAGGCAGTAAATCAGACAAGAGTTGACTGCCCATCTTTGGATTGACAGCACTATTCCTTACCACTAGGACACCAGAGCTCCCTCTTTTCATCATTACTGCAGCCGGTTTTTTATTTTTGTCATATAATAGATTAAATGAATAGGGAGGGAGGTGTTTTCTATGTAGCACTTTTATTTTAAAACATTCTCAGACATGAAAAATCACAAATACAGAACAAAGATCTTTCTTCTTTCTGAACAATTTGAGAGTAACATTCCAGCATGATGTTCCTATCACCATCATGTTCTTTGGCACATATTTTCCATAAACAAGGACATTCTGTGTAACCTCAAGACAGCCATAGAAATCAGGAAATTGCCACTAATACCTTTATTACCCTGTAATCTTTGGGCTTCATCCCAGTTCTGCCAAATATCCCATATAACAAAAGGAGGCAGCTCCCAATTACTGTTGTTCACCTGTCATTTCTCTTAGTCACTGTTATTGTAGGATAGTGGTTCAGATTTTACTGGCTTTTTTATGACTGAGACACTTTGAAGATTAAAGGCCATTTATTTTTTAGGCTAACGTTTCCTGGTGATTAGATTCAGGTCACGCGCTTCAGCAGAAATACCACAGAAGGGATGCGGTGTCCTTCTCCATGCATCTCATCGGGTGGCACAGTGTTTTCATTTGTCTCATTACTGACAATGACTTGCTTAAGGATATGTTTGTAGGCTTTCCCCTTCATTTATTAATTTACATCAATATGAATTCAAACCTTGCTTTTTAATGTTGTTGTTATGTGCCATTGTGTCACTTGGGACTCAGCGACTCTATGTACAACAGCCCAGAAACCTGCTCTATCCTGTACAAACTTTGCTTTCTCCGACACACCTACCCTCATTACCACAGTCACTGTATCTGTCTCATCGATGGTCTCCTTCTCTTTCTCCATCCCTCCACCCTTCCAAGCATGATGTCCCTCTCCAAGGACCAGTCCCTCCTTGCAACGTGCTCAAACTATGCCAAAAGAAGCCTCAGAACCCTTGCCTCCAAGAAGCAGGTTGGCTTCACCCTCTCTAGTATGAACCTATTTGTTTCTCCTGGCAATCTATGGTATATTCAGAACTCTTGTCCACCACCACAGCTCAAAGGCATCAATTCTCCTTCTATCACACCTAGTCATTGTCCAGCTCTCTGGTGGATAACAAGCAATTGTGAAGACTACGGCCTGGATCAGGTACTACACCTTAGTCTTCAGAGTGACATCATTGTTCTTCAGTACTCTGGAGAAGTCCCTGACACTGACTTTCCCAGTGCAATTCGTCTCTTGATTTCCTGGCTTCTGGTACCAAGACTGTTGATTGTGGAGCCAAGCAAACTAAAACTTAACAATCTTTTCACCACCCATCATAATGCTGCCAATTGGCCCAGTGGTAAGAATCTTTGTTTTCTTTTGGTTTTGTTTTATTAATTCTAATGAAAGTTTACAGGGACTTTGGATTTCCATTCACTCATTGTTGCAAGAATCTTTGTTTTCTTGATGTTGAGCTTTAATCCGTATTGAAGGCTGCAGTCCTTGACCCTCTTCAGCCAGCGCTTCAGGTCCTCCTCAGTTTGAGCAAGCAGGGTTGTGTCATCTGCATAATGCAGGTTGTGGATGAATCTTCCTCCAATCCAGATGCCACATTTCTCATACAGCCCAGCATATAATGGGTTTAAAAAAAAATCCATGATTCATTATTGAGATGCTTAAATGATCTCGAGATAATGGTTAGTTGAAATAACTGCAAACTGATTTCTGTCTTCCTTTTTTTAATCTCCATGTGTGTTGAAAATACACACAACATAAACCAGCGATTTCCACATGTACAATTCAATGACAGTGATTTTACTTAAATCCTTTCCCAGATTATTTCATCACCATTAATATAAATTCAACATCCTATGTCCTTTCGATATATCCGCATTACATGTGGAACATTTCTCTGACACAAGACATTCCAGGTTCAATTTGCACATTTCATGCCCCAGTCTTGATTTAGTAGAAAATGATTTTAAAAGCCAAGATCTGTGTGCTGTGTATGCTCAGTGCTAGGTGGCCCCAGGTTGCAGTCTTGAGAGTTTAGGGATGCACACAAGCACGGATACGGACATATAACATCTAAATTGACTTCTGCATTCCTATGTTGAGAACCTGGGTTATCACACTTTTAGTTCCGGTTCAACACTGTAGACTTCTTTCTGTTTTCCTTCTTACTATGCCTGTAACCTCTTCCTCAGACACCAAGAAACCTGGCTCCAATTATTGTGAAGTGTATACAACCTGTGCCGTATTTGAGTCTACTTGGCCACACCTAAAATTGCTTTTTTAATGGAAGTTTACAAAGACTTAGGGTTTCTAGTCTTTCATTTCTACTACCCACCCCCTTCCCCCCCAGTTCACTCTTCTTGAAAAAAAAAGAAAAACTCTTTCATTGTTATGCAGTCTCCTCCCACCCCCAAGTTAACTGCACTATGCAGCCTTCACTCTGGACTCCTGTAATGACAAGAATACCCATTCATATATCCCTTTTAAACAGTTCTCTCCCTCATCTGTTTCATTGCAGTATACATAATTCCTCCTCTCCTTTACTGTCTTCCTCAGCCCCAGTGTCAGTCCCATTTTACAACAGTGGCCCTATGCATTATTTGTCCTTTTGTGACTGAGATCTTTCACTCAGCATAATGTCCTCCAGAGTCACCCATTTTGCATAATATTTCATGAGTTCCCTGTTTTTCAATGCTGCATAGTATTCCATTGTTCCATACCAGAACTTCTCTATCCATTTGTTGATGGGCTAAAATTGCTTTTAAAAGCAAAGCCAGACTTTCTTTGGGGGTAAATTTCCGTCAGTTATTCTTATCATCAAAGAGCCTTAGTGGTCAGTGAGCCACCAACTCAAAAGTCAATAATTCAAGCTGCATCTTCTCAGGAGAAAGATGAAGCCATTTTTATAAAAACTGACAGCTTTGAGAATTCTACTGATGCAACTCTACTCCATCTTGTTGGGTCACTCTGTCAGAGATGACTTGATGGCAATGGATTGGTTTAGATTTCCTTACTGTGTTAGAAGCATTCATTGATTTGGTAGGTGGACTCCTAAATTCCAGAGAAGTAAGGTGATTGCATAAGCTAACCTGACTCATGCTACCGAGGACTGCTTATGTTCACTGATGAGCCCTATAGTAGTTGCCATTCTTGTGCTGCTGTTTGCCAACCAGAGTTTATATTAAAAGAAAAGATATTATTTGTCTAGTTCAGAGATAGGGAAAAGGAACTAATATACCCCCCTCTCCCCCCACCCCATTTCCATATCCTTTTTCCTTTGTCACCATTCACACAGCTCTAAGACCACTTTCTCTGAATCTCTGGTGTCAGTCTGAATTTTCCATCTTCCTCCCCATGCTGTATGTAGCTCCAGGATGGACTATCTTCCAATGCGCCCCCAGCCATTTTTAATCCTGGCTTGCAGCCAAGTGCAGGCATAGAGGACACTGGAGTTTTCAAGTGTGAACAATGAAGTATTGCTTTTATTCTTGGCTCAGCACCTGGGAAAGAAGGTAAGCTTGGGAAGTTGGCTCTGGCTCCCGAGCTGATTACAGAGTTGAGTCTGGAATGGTTTCATTAAAAGGATGCCTTGTTAACATCCGATCTCTTTCACACAAGCAGAATAATGAAGACAGAGCCGGTCATTGAACTATGGGTAAGACATGAGCTAGAATTACATACTGTCTTGAAATTTCTTAGCAAGGCTCAATTACAACAAGCAAGTGCCTTATGTGTAGAAATCAAACAAAGGCAAGGCTCCAATCTTGGTAAGAGGTGGAATTATAAGGTAGCAAAAGGCATTTACCCAGAAAGTTAGACTTCCAAACTCTTCTTCCCAGTAGTAATAACTAGCTTAGCACTTTTCTGTTTGAAGGGGGAAAGTCTTACATTGAAAGTGCTTCCCACAGCTGGTTGCACCATATGCAATATTCAAAAGACAAGAACATGCTAATCATGGAGAACCAGCAGCAGCTAAACAGCCCTCTGCTGGCTTCCAAAGGGCTTATAATTGAGTACAGATGGCCTTGGCATGGATGAGGAGTGTGTCCCTGCTGACTTCTCACACCCCAGAGAGGGCCAAGAGGCTGGGGGGTGGGAGGGGATGAGCTTATGAGACTCTTGCCTCGATTGTGCCCTTGTGGGGGTGAGGGGACCACAAGGCTGGAGATGCCAGGGCCTGCTGGCTGCCTTCTGCCCCAGCCTTCCTCAGGCCACGGGAACAGAGCTTCATGCGGCCAGTTTGGATGTGATGCATCTAGGGACCATAGATCAGAAACCCTGGGGTGAGGGAGCAGAAGGTTAGAGTCCTTCATAATCATCCAGAGACCTCACTGTGTGGCCTGCAGGTGGCTGTGAGGCGGCAGAGGCCTCTTGGAGGTGGATTGGAGTGGAAACACACAGACTTCTCGCAGGGGCTGCAGCAGCCAACCCAAGTGCTCCCTCCTCTCTCCCGCCCCTTTCTCCCCTCCTCCTTAAGGAGTATAGCGAATTTCCAGTCTCTTTGAAATTTCTA